CATATTCAATGCTTTCATGTTTAAATTCAAACTGGATCTTTCTCTGAGGCAACGAATCAAACACCTTACATGCATGCTACCCACACGTGATGGGAGACAGCCATCTTACATAATTCAATTCCAGAACGGGAGGAAGACGTCCAAGTAGAACTGGTAAAATTGGACTTAATACGAAAATTTGACTCAATTCATTTGTTATAGGTAGGATCATGAATCTTATGTACTAATTCGGAATCTAAAATAATTCGGATTAAAATTATTTAAAATTCGAACTAAGATTATCCGAACCCAAATAGGTTGGGTCACGCGAAATGACTTGAACTTTTTTTTATTCATTTTTATTAGATTACTTAAAAATTAATATTAAATTTTTAATTTTTTAATCCTAAAAATAAAAATAAATAAAGTACTTAAATCCTAACCTCTCATCAATTTCACTTTCTCTCAACTTTTTCTCTTCTCCACTCTCACTCTCCCCTTCTTCATCTCAATCTCTCTAGTCCTTCTCTTTGGTGGCACTTGCATCGAAAATTAGATTAGGTAGCACATAGTGAATTATATCATATGACATCGTAAAAAAGATCATTTTAAAAAAAATAAAAAATAAGAATGCATATTGAAAATCAAAACCAGTGGTTAAGGTACCATCATAACTATTAAAAGTACAAAAACAAAAATATCAAGAACATCAAGGACGGTTCTTAGTTGCTAATTTGTTCTTAATTAATAAAAATCAATTCTGATCCAATTTCTTCTTGTATTTGGTTAGACATATTTTGGATTTGTCATTTTAAACTTTAATATTAAATAAGGTTATATTTTTTGTATAATGCCTTTCTAAATATTGAATAAAACTATATTTTTTGTATAATACTCTTATAAATATTGAATAAGAACTAGATATTAATATATATATTGGATTTGTCTTTTAAACTCTAATATTTTATGTCTTTTCTTTAAATGAAAATTAATACCTTTATGAAATTATGAATTTTGAATATTGTATAGGTATTATATATTTGGCATATATTTTAATTTCACCTATATAATCGTTAATTTTTTCCCTTTTTTTTCTTGAGATTGGAAAAAAATTGAATTGTGAAATGAAAATTAACGTTTAATAAAGTTTTCTAACTAAATAATTAATTAGTAATAAAGTTTTTTAATTAAATAATTAATTAATATTAAATTTTATTAAAAAAATAAAAAAATTTAATTTTAATTTTTTAAAAATTGAGTACATTTGATCCCATCTGACACCCGTACGAATGGAATATGAATCAACTTCGACACCCAAAATAATCCAATCTATACAATCCGACGTGCCCAATCCAAACCCAACCAGACCTGCTTGTCAGGTCTACGTCCAAGTCCAACTGTCCAAGCTACTGACTTTGAATTTTCAAAGAATTAACAATGGAAATTTTGATCTGACATTACCTGCAGGAAGGTGCACTCTAACCCCTAACTTACGCAGTACAGAAATCAGGAACGGTTCCTAAATTATTTGCTTGATATTTTTGTTCAGTCGTTGAGTTACTTTTCAATGGAATTGTGATCTGACATGACCTGCAAGAAGTTG